CCCGTAGTCCTCCTGCTCCTCCTTGTCCTGCAGATCCTCCCTATCCTCATCCGTCCGCATCCTCCATTTCCGCGTGTCACCCTCCTGCTCCACCGCCACCGCCTCCTCCTCCTCCTCCTCCTCATTGAAGTCCTCTGGGACATCCAGGTCGGAAGATACATACGAAATCAACGCAATGAGAAGGGATTAGTGGGAGGAGTGGGGTGTCAAATCTGTACCGACCGTCTTCCCTCCTGCCTCTTCTCCCTCCACCTTCTCCGCCTGCACCTGCGGCCTGCCTCCCGGACCCGCTTCTGTTCCCATCCAGGAGCTCTTCGTAGATTCTTCCCTACTTGTCGGGCGGGGTCAAATGAGCAAAGCCGCCCGCGGCAATCACCTGTAGACTGCGACGACGCCGCTAGTACTTGGCACCAGAAAGAGAGCAACAAGTGCATCAGCGCTCAGAGGGCCGTTCTAGACCTCTTTAACCAAAAACCAATGTCCCGAGCGCCCTTCGCACCTCCACTGCAGCACCGCATGTCGACTGGTGTCTCCCAGAGCATAGGAAAGGGGGGAAGGGGGGAGAAAAGATGAGCAGGGGGCGGAGATAACAAAGGGTGGTGAAAGGGAACGGGGGGAGAGGAGGAAGGGGGGAACAGGGACTGGCGCTACCACTTGGGCGCGGCTTACATGTTTCGATCGCCTTGCCGTCGGGAGCGCCCTCGAGAGAAAACGCCGCTCTCGCTCAGCCCCTGCGCAGCCACGGATCTCGCTCGAAAAATGCGGTCTCGCTGGGGCGGGGCGTCTTCTGCACCCGCCCAACGCTGTGTCCGAAGCCTGGCCGCACGCAGCCAAGCTGAGCTGCGCTCTGGGCGCTGCCCAGGGCGACTTCTGACTCGCCCAGTCGTCGAAGTGGAGGGGCGCGCGCGCGCGCGCGCGCGAGCGCCTGCTGTCCGTGCTCTGAAGTCCGGAGCGCGCGCGGGTCCTTGCACCCCCACGCACCTACCCATGGGAGGGTGGGAGTCGGGGGGGCCCGCTAACCCGCTCGAGCTGGCCAATTCGCTTGGCCCTCCTCCTCCTCCTCCTCATCCTCCTCCTGTCCTCCTCCCCCTCCTCCTCGTCCACCTCTTCTTCCCCCCCCCCCTTCAGTGATGACCCGAATCCGTCACAAATCCGTCACACCGCTTCGCAGACGACCCACTGAGACACTGGCGCCACCGCCCGGAAACTCTCGCCGGGCTCCCGCAACGGGAAGGGGTCCATGCCATCTCGGCGGGCCACGAAAACAACAAAGCAACTGCGGAGGCGTTCGCTCACTTCCGGGAGATGCGTGCCGTGATGACTTCGGCATGGGCCTCCGACACCGCGTGGATCGTTCAGCCTTGAACGATCGGCGGCGCATCGATTGCCAGATCGTTCCACATTTCCACATTGGCCGAGTCCTGGCAATGTGATATCGTTTGTGACTCTTCCGAGAGAGGGGGAGGGGGAGGTGCCGGCTGATACCCTGGCCTTTTCGCGCAGGTTATCCAGGAGGGTGAGGTGGGGGCCGATAATTGAGCAGGGACCGACCGCCCCGGCATTCCTATAGCCCTTCCATGAAATGTTCTTAGAACCCAAAAGTGCTTCAGAACAAAACAATGTTCTTAGAAGAACAACCCTATGTTATAAAACAAGACAGACTCCGCCAGAAATGTTCTAGGAACATTCCGTGAGAAACACAACAGGTTCTTAGAATATTGTTTGGTAGGGCTATAGGCACGCCAGGACGCTTCACCGCTGCTTGCGATAACCCGGATTATCGCTGGAACGCCAACCAACATCTCCTGGCGGCGTTCAACCTTGAACGCTCGCGCCAGGGTCGCCGCCGAACCGACACGACACACTCTCTTACCGTACGTACCTTCCCCGTCCCCCCTCCCCCCCCTCACGACCATCGCCGCGGCCACCGCGCACAGACACCCGGCCAGCCTCTTCTCCCCCTCCGCCGCATCCTCCTCCTCCTCCTCCTCCTCCTCCTCCTCCTCCTCCTCCTCCTTCCCCCTCCTCTTCCTCCTCCTCGTCCTCATCCGCCTCCGCCTCCTCCCGCCCCTTCCTCTCCTGCATCTTCCTCATATTCTTCCTCCTCATTTTCCTCCTTCTCTCCTCTTCCTCCCTCCCCCCATTCCTCTTCCTCCTCCTCCTCCTCTCCTCCTCCTCCTCCTCCTCCCTCCCTCTCCCCATTCCTCCTCCCTCCTCCTCCTCTCCTCCTCCTCCCTCCCCCAGCCCCCCAGTCCCCATTCCTCCATTCCTCTCCTCTCCTCCTCCTCCTCCTCCTCCTCCTCCTCCTCCTCCTCCTCCCCTCTTCCTCCCAATTCCTCCTCCTCCCGTCCCCCATCCCTCCCATTCCTGCAACTCCTCCTCCTCCTCCTCCTCCTCCTCCTCTTCCTCCTCCTCCATTCCTGTTCTTCATGAACAACTCCTCCCTGACGCACCCCGAGGCCAGTCGAAAGGGCGGGCTTGGCGTTTCGCCTGAGGCCTTCCTTACCAGTTATGAGCTTGAAGCTTAAAGACTGTCAACAACTTCGCAAGTGGAGGGCGGGTGGTTTTCAATATGTGGTCCTCGCCTTAGCGCCGCGCGCACCCGCTTGAAATAATTGCCGGATGGACGGGACGTCCCGCGAGGTGTCAGAGGGTATGTTTTCGCCCAAGATGGCCCTCAGATGGCCTCAGAGAGCACTGGATGACCTCCAGGATGGCTCCGGAAAGCCCAAGATGCCTCAAATCGGTTCCCACGATGCTCCAAGAGGCCCCAAGAACGCTCATAGACGGCTCCAGGACGCCTCGGGGGGGCTCCCAAGGAGCCACAATCCCTCCAACGCCTAAGGAAAAACAATGTTTTTTTGTTTCCTCGCCGTTTCGCTTCCGATGGCCATCCGAAGCCTCAAGATGGTTCCAAGATGGCCCAAGACAGCTCCAGGAGAGGCCCAAAAGAGCCCCACGACGGCCCCAAGAGCGGTCCAAGAGCGGCCCAAGAGAGGTCCAACGAGAGGTTTAAGAGGCGATGTTAGGGGCTCCAGAAGGGGGGGGGGGGGGGGGAATTGCGACCAACCCCTTTTTTGATGGATGTCCTCCAGGATGGCCCCAAGAGCGCCCCGAGAGGTCCCCAAGAGGCGCCCAGACGGCTCCAAGAGGCCTCGAAGAGGTCCTCAACAGACCCCATACGAGACCGCAAGAGAATCCAAGAGGTACCCAACTATCCCTCCTTTTCCTCCTTTTCGTCCTCCTCGTCCTCCCCCTACTCCATCTCCTCCTCCTCCTTTTCCTCCTCGTCCTCCTCCTCCTCCTCCCCCCGCTCTTTGTTATTCCATATGCTCCCCCACTTCCCTCATCACCTCAACTCCCCTGGGCATCGTTTCTGGATGGGTTGGTGGGGATACTTTTTCGCTCGCGAACGCAAGCGGAGGAGCCGCGCGCCGTCATAAGATACAACGAAGACCTAAAACAACAGCGGCCGGGAACGAGGTCTGGTGGGGGTACTCTTTGTCGTGGCCGCAGGCGAACGCGCCAGCAACGTGAAGAATCGGGCGGGCTACGCGCGAAACTAATTGCCTAACGCGCCGACGACCGGCGGCCGAGGCAGCACCTAAGTTGACCGGGCTGCGCGAAGTGGTGCGGGCTGCAGCTGCCACGAACCAGGTCCAGGAGCAGCGCATGCATGATTGGCCAACCGAGGCTGGAACGCAGCCAAAATGGCGCGGGAGCGATCCCAGGATGTAGCCTGGAACACCATCACGAAGGAACGCTGTCACCAGCTAGCTGGGGGGCATCCTTTTTTTGTTGGCAGCCGCAAGCGAGAGCGCCAACGGCGAGTAAGGTCCGAGCGGGCCGCGCGGGGGCCTAATTACCTAGCGCGGAGCAGAGCAGGCCCTACCGCCGGGGGAAGTCTCAGCGCCGGGGCAGCAAGAGGAGCCGAGGGCGGGGGCTGCAAGCTGCCGGGGCTGCCAGGGGGCTGCAAGCGTGCGACAACCTGAGAGCAGGGTCACCAGGTGCGAATTGAACTGCAGCGAATTCGCCAATCGCAGCTGGGACGCAACCAGAATGGCACGGCGCTCTGCCAGGGTGTGACCAGGGAGGTGCTCTGGTGGGGATACGTTTTTTTGATTTGCGGCCCGCAAGGAAAAGTCCAGAGCGCGGGATGATAGGCAATGGGGCGTACGCCAGCGGACGAGTCGACCCGAGTGAAGCGGGCCAGAGGGGAAGGCAGAGGATGACAGGCGACGAGAGGAAAGGGGGGGGAACCAGGCCTCACTCACAGAACACCTCACGTGTTCGACGCTCACCGCGAAGCCCTCCTGTGTTCGAAGCTGAAGCCAATGAACCAGGGGCCTGGGGACCTGCGTAACGCCGAGGGTATTCGAGCGTTGCCGGGCCGAGGACCCAACAGAGTCTGGTGGGGATACGCGAAGCGTCAACAATTTCCAGATTAAGGGCGGGCGGCTTTTCAAATGTGGCTTTCGCACTAGCGACGCACAGTCGTTTTGAACATTGCAAAAAATGTACGGAGTGTGGCGGCTACTTGCTCGGCATGTGCCGCGCATTCTCGTTCAAACAATTCGCAAGATATTCGCTGATTCGCATCGTCAGCGTACCAGAAGCACTGTGTTGGAGCGACTCAAGATTGTCAGAAGGCAACAATTACCTGCGTTGACTCGCGGTGTTGATGTCCCAGAATGGTACTCTGGCGCGGTTCAGGATTGTCAAGGCGCAACAGCCAGGTTGACTCGTGAAGTCAACGCCTTGAGAATGATGCTCTGGTGCGCTTCAGGACTTGCACGCAAAGAGCGACTCCCTGTGGGAGTGAACCCTCGGACGGGCCTCCTCCTCCTCCTCCTCCTCCTCCTCCTCCTTTTCCTCCTGCACCTGCTCCTCCTCTTCCCCCATGCACCTCCTCCCCGTCCACCGCGATCCTCCCAGTGCGCGCGGCGCGCGCGCGCGGCGCGCGCGCGCGGCGCGCGCGCGCGCTGGCGCCCCCGCCACGCCTCCACCGGGACGTGCACCGCCATGGTCTCCGCCATGGCCTTGAAGTTGTGCTCGTTCTCCTCCTGGCGTGGGCACGGGGGCGGGGCGGGGGCGGGGCGGGTCGGCGGGGAGGAGGGAAGAGGAGAGGAGGGGGGAGGAGGGGGGGGAAGGGGGAGGGAGGAGGGGAGGAAGAGAGAGAGAGAGGGGACGGGGCGGGAGGAGGGGGAAGGAGGCATGGGGGGAAGCGGAGGGGGGAGGCAGGGGAGGGAGGTGCGAGGGGGAGGAAGGAGGCGAGATCAACGCCGATCCCAAGCACATCGAGCCGTTCACGAGCCAATTGGTTATGATCCCGAACATGTCTGAGTTTTCCAAGGCATGCATGAAGAAATATATGGGGTAACCTGGTGTTCGTCTCTTGCGCTCGGGATGAACCATCAATATCTGACACATGTCTAGAAAACCGAAGTCCCAACCTAGGAATAGTTTTCCGTATCCGAGTGTTTACACAACGTTTACACGGAACATATTGTTGTATGGTTCTAATAGATTAGCGTTCCAGGTGTATTGGCGTATTGGATGCTCAAGGCTGGGGACCGACAACAGGGATGAGGAGGGATCACTTCAACGAGTTCACGTCAAGCACAACAGTAATATTACCATCTGTCGGGCCTGAAAATTCGCCGGCCCAACGGGCCAGAGGCGTGCCAAAATATCCAGTAACTGTTTAACAACATTCTACTTCGCGCGCGCGTGGCGGCCCCCAGGGGTCCCCGGGCGAAAAGTACCCCGGCCGATCCCCAGCAGATCCCCGGGCGATCCCCTGCCAGGTCCCCCAGAAAGCTCCAAGGGAGGGTAATTGTTCGACACCCCTCACGAGGGCCGTGGCTTCCGAGGGGGGAGCCGCAATCGATCACCCCTCCTCTCGACCCCGCGAGCTTCCCAAGAGGCTCCAGAGGCCCCCAAGACGCCGCCAAGGAGCTCCAAGAGGCCCTAAGATGCCCCCACGAGGCCCTCAGGAGGCCCCCAAGAGGCCTCCAAGCGGCCCCAGGAGGCCCCCCGAATGCCCCCCCAAGCACGCAAGCAAGTGCCAGCGATGCTACAATATGGGCCGGCGGAATGAGCGAAGCGTTTGAATAAAGAATTAACTCATAAGCACAACCACTCCTGTCAAAGAAAACACCCCTCTCGGCAAATAGTCGGACCATAGTTCTGATCCAAACAAACAAAACGACGCATAGTAAAGCACTCCTCCCAACGTAGTCTATCCACGCTGGACGTCGCATTGAATGTTTGGACATGAATCTACAACCAGGGAACTTCATCCAGAGAACCACAATTCTTGCAAGAGGTCATCGTTTTTTCTGGGATTCACCCTGCCCCCCCCTTTCGACCCATGGACCTCTCTAGAGGGGCGTGCTCTGACCAGGGCCTCGATGTCGGGACTCGGCCGTGGCGACGATGAGCTCCCCAGAACCCCCCAAACCGAGTGATAAGCGCTTCAAAAAAGACGATCCTGGAGCCTTCCCCATGCGGGCCCTTGCTGACGGGCCGCCCACATGGGGTTCGAGCAAGCGGGGTCGGAGGAACGCGCCGCATCGCCGATGCATTGCCGTCGCGCTAGGCGACGCGTCGGCGGTGCATCAGCGATGCATCAGCGACATCGACGTGGAGAAGACTGGGCCCCCCATTGAGCACCATCGCCGACGCAGCAAGGATGCGGCTTGCTCCACCCACCCCGTCTGTTTCGACCCCGGGCGGGGGAGCACCACAGCAGCACCAATGGCACGCCGCCGCGGGAGGCCCACCAGAGTCACAGTCGGAGAAGCACCAGGTCTTCTCCTCTCCTCCTCCTCCTCCTCCTCCTCATCCTCCTCCTCCTCCTCCTCCTCCTCCTCCTCCTCCTCCTCCTCCTCGGACGAAGAAGAACGAACGAGCGACGATCAAAATCTGGTCTCGTGCGAGATGAGGCAGCGACCTTCCTCGGTGGCTTACGCGGGCCACCAGCGCGGAAAAAGTCACAGTGGAGACGGGGGCACTCACGCGAGACCTCACGCGAGCAGCTTGCGCGCCAACGTCGGCGCAGTCGAACCCGGTTGTTGTTGTTGCGTCGCTCAGGTGGCTCGCAAACGGCCCCCAGCAGGCAGCGTTCCACCGACGCTCGTTTCCCCTCCCGAGCTGGGGCGGCCCGGACTGCCTGGAGGAATGAACAATGCCATGCACATCAGCGCTTGGACCCAGAGATCTGCGCGGAGCTCCACGAGTTTATGCTTTTGTGCAGCTTGTTGTTCTTCGACTGCTCCTCAATCGTCCTCGACGATGGGGATCGAGGACCCATCCTGGGGTCCGTCTGAACACTCGTCCCTAGGCAATGCTTTATTATTTACTATTCTTGAATACTCCTCCTGTAGAGGGGCATGCCCGACTTAAATCTGGTGCAATTCTTCACCCTAGATTCGTTGTCCACGGCCCCGGGGTCCCGAAAACGACCCCCACAGATGCCGAAAGAGGCACAAAACGCCTTCCCGAACCGCCTCGAAAACCCGCCAGCATCCTTCGGGCTGGGCGGCACCAGTGCTGGGCCACATCTCGGACGCCGTGACGGCTCCAAGCTGATGGGCTTATTTTCCCCGACCACCACCAGAAGTTGGAGGGGGAGGGGGTCCTCCTCCACCTCCTCCTCCTCCTCCTCCTCCCATTCCTCCTCTTCGTCCTCCTCCTCCTCCTCCTCCTCCTCCTCCTCCCTCCTTCCCCCCTCCAGCTTGTGGTGGTGGACAACAGGCCCATCACAAGCCCAGTGTCCCCCCCAGCCGTCCTCGACGATGGAGATCAAGGACTTGCGCTCCAGGCTCCCCCGCACGACCGCGCGCGTGCTCCGCCGGAGAGTGTTCCGCCTCCTGCCAATTGGGGGGGGTGATCGGTGCTCCCGCGCTTGGCGCCGGCGCCGGCGTCTCCAGGGACCTCCGGCGCACTGCTCCTCCGCTGCGGCCTTCTCCTCTTCCTCGTCCTCCTCCTCCTCCTCCTTCTCCGCTTGGCGTTGACTCCTCCTTCTCCTCCTCCTCCTCCTCCTCCTCCTCTCCTCCTCCTCCTCCTCCTCCTCCTCCTCCTCCTCTCCTCCTCCTCCTCCTCCTCCCTCCTCCTCCCCCTCCTCCTCCTCCTCCTCCTTCTCCTCCTCCTCCCACTCCGCCTCCGCCTCCTCCTCCTCCTCCTCCTCCTCCTCCTCCTCCTCCTCCTCGGGTCGTGGTGGCGAGGGAAGGAATGCAGTCGGGACGTTGACCTGAGGAACCCTAAAGAAAGAACGAGGCCCCTCTTTCCCATATGTTAAGCTTCGATTTCTCATGGGGACCCTCAGGAACACCTGAGGCAAACTGTGAAACAATCAGGGAACACCGAGCCCCTGGCCAACGAAAAGGGTTCCTTCTTCAGCGCCCCGACTGCATATGGGTCCGATGGCTCGCTTCGCATCGTCGATGCGTACCCGATGCATCGGCGCTGCATCTGCGACGTCGGCGATGCACCCGCGCCGTCGGCGCGGCGAACGTCGGGTTCCACATCGAGCCGCGTCGTCGATGCGTCGGCGATGCGGCGCGATCCTCCGCGACCCCACCTAAGTGCTCTGGCTCCAAATGCCAGAAAAAGACTCAAAACATCGACCCCAGAATAGCCAAACTGTTGGAAAAGTGCCCCCCAAATAGTCAACGACAGAAGAACAATCGCCCCCAGACTATCTTTTGACAATTCTTGAACCTTCCTCCTGTAGAGGGACATGCCCGACTTAAACCTACTCCAACTTTATCTGGGACGCCTGGAGGTAAGAAGCCGATGCCGCCGCCACCGACGACCCATCGCGGCGGGGGGGACAGCCCTGGGCGGGCGGCGGCATGCCAGGGGCGTCACCCAGGCCAGGACGACGCTCAGGCGTGCCACTACCGAAGGTCACGAGCGGCGAACATGGTGGGCTTGCTTTCCACCGCCACCACCACAAGTAGGAGGGGGAGGGGGTCCTCCTCCTGCTCCTCCTCTTCCTCCTCCTCATCCTCCACCTCCTTCCCCCTCCAACTTCTGGTGGTGGTAGTGGAGAACAGGCCCATCTGAACATATTCGTATCCGCGCCCTCGCGGACATGATTCTGGGGCGCGATCCCGCGGATACGCAGTCGCACGGACACGTTCGCGCGGATCATCCACGACACGGCGTTCAGTATCCGTTGGGTCACGGCCTGGGGGTCCGGCCAGCGAGGCCGCGGGTAAGCATATGTTGCTCACCCACGACAGGGTTTGGGTCCCCACCGATTTCGGTGGCAACTCATGGGAGCCGCCCATACCATCTTGTCGGATCTTGCGAATCGACGCTAATCGATACTAGTCGACGCTCCGTCGGCGCTAATCGACGCTATCTTATCGACTCCCAGAAAGTAATCGACACTGAAGACGGAGTTAAGAGGATCTACCAGGCTCCCATGATTTGCTACCCAATAAGGACTTGCTGCTCGCCCACAACAAGGTTTGGTCCCCACCAATGGGTGGCGGTGGTCTCAATTTCCTCTGCGTCAGCGTCACACTGGCTTGTTTTGCATCTACGGGAGACCTTGTCTGGCCCGTCGCGCCTCCATCCATGTCGAATCCATGTCGAATCCGTGCCGAATCCGTGTCGAACCCACGTCGAATTCGCGTCGAACCCACGTCGGAGTACACGAAAAGATGCCCAATTACAGGACAGGAGGTCCACCGAAATTGCAAAGCAACCATGGGTGTGCCGTCGGGGATCTTCCGACCCGGGTCAATCCAGACCCGTTTCAGTCAGGCCTTGCAGAATCCTGCAAGGTCCTGCATCCAAACCCGGTCAATGCGAAGAATCTTGCAAGATCCTGCAGGATCCTGCACCCAAGCCGGGGTCGATGCGACCCTGGCCCTGCAGGATCCCACCAGATCGGGCGCTCTGGCTGACCCCTGGTTGCACTGACCCCCGTCTCAACGCTCCCGATGGTGAGCGTTTCCATGATTCGGCGTCTCGACAGTGGGCGGCAAGGGCGGGGGGAGGGGCGGGCTCTGGCTCCGGACCTCTGCTCAGCGCGACCGTTTGCGACGGTGCGTCCACTATGGGGGAGAAACTGCACCTGCCTGAAACAGGCGCCAAAAACAGCAAAGATCCACTCCACGGGGGCTTCTCAGAAGCTATCAGAGAAGCTTCTCTGAGGGCGGCGGGGGCTTCTCAGAGAGCGGCGGGGCTTCTCAGGGCTTCTCGGAAGCTTCTCCTACGGCGGCGGGGCTTCTCAAAGGCGGGGTTTCTCAGCAGCTATCTGGCCTTCAGGGAAGCCGGCTCTGTCTTCGGAAGAGGCTGAACAAACCCGTCACAAGGCACGAAGCCTTCCAAGCCTTCCGAGAAGGCCCGCCCCCGCTACATTCCTCGCTGAGCGCGCCGCCGAGAAAGAGCCCGCAGACGGCGAACACACATCCTCGACAACATAAGATGTTACTTCATACCGTTATTCGTTCGCAGACTGCATCCTCCCTCTTCCACTTCCAGCGGCGCGCCAAGGGGGGAAGGCAGATGGGGCGGGTCTTCTCAGAAGGCTTGGAAGGACTCGGGACTTCTGTGAGGTTTTCTCAACCTTCGCCGAGGAAACCCCGCCTCCCTCTGAGAAGGCCCGCCCCCTCTCGCTTCCCCCCTGGGCTCGCAGCCGGAGAGGGGGAGGTGGACTTGGCGCTCCTCGGAGTGATGCTCGAGGCGTGGCTCTGGATCGTCTGGCGTCCTCGTCGTCGTCGTCGTCGTCGTCGACGTCCTCGTCCTCGTCGTCGTCGTCGTCGTCCTCGTCGTCCTCGTCGTCCTCGTCGTCGTCGACGTCGTCGTCCTCGTCGTCGTCGTCGTCGTCGTCGTCCTCGTCGTCGTCGTCGTCCTCGTCGTCGTCGTCGTCCTCCTCCTTCTGCTCCTCCTCCTCTTCCTCCTCCTCCTCCTTTGGGCAGGGCGCTCCTCGGCGTGGCGCTCGAGGCGTGGCTCCGGAGCGTCAGGCGTCTGCCCGGGGAGCTGCGCGGCGCGCCGCGCGCGCTCTCGCGGCGCCTCCGCCACCGCCCTGCCGCGCGCCGCCGCCGCCCGCCGCCGCGCGCCGCCCCGCGAAGATCGAAGCTCGAAGCTCGAGGGGCGAGGATCGAGGAGGATCGAGGAGGATCGAGGATCGAGGATCGAGGCTCGAAGCTCGAGGATCGAGGATCGAGGGTCGAGGGTCGAGGGTCGAGGATCGAGGATCGAGGAGGATCGAGGAGAACCGAGGATCGAGGCCCGAAGCCCGACACGACAGGAGGACCGAGCGAGATCGAGGGTCGGAGACCGAAGATCGCCGTCCTTCGAGGGGGGCCGCCGCCACGGCCGCGGCCGCCGTCGCTGCCGCCTTCCTGGCCCTCGACTCTGGCCTCGCTCCCGCCGCCACTTCCCGCCGCTCTGCCCTCCCGCCTCCTCGTCCCCTTCCGCCGGACCGCGCAGCCTGCCCGGAGCCAGCGTGGCGGCATGTAGGGCTTCGATGCAGGATCCCGCAAAGCCAGGGCTGGCGTGCAGCATCATGCTGGATCCAGCGGGACCTCCCTCCGCACTCCCCCCTCCCTCCGCCCTGCTCCCTCGACGCACCTCCTCCCTCCTCGCCCCCTCCTCCTTCGGCCCTCTGCCTGCCCGGAGCTGCTGCCGCGCAGGGCGCTGTCGCCGTCGGGCCGCGCGGCCTGCGTTCCTGTGGCGCCGAGCCCTCCTTGCGCACCCAGGCTGTCGCCGCACGCCCAGGGGAAGGGGGGGCACAGGAGCTGCTTGGGCAGCCACGGCGAAGGTGGACGAGGAGGAGGGGGAGGAGGCGGAGGAGGAGGAGGAGGAGGAGGAGGAGGAGGAGGAGGAGGAGGGGGAGGAGGGGGAGGAGGAGGGGGAGGAGGAGGAGGAGGAGCCCCCCCTCTGCGAGGAGCCGAGCGGTGAAGGGGCATCCCCCCCCCCCCCGGGGAACCGAGAGGAAAGGGGGAAGGGTCTACAGCGCGGCCTGGGCCACCACGGTGAAGGAGGCATCCCAGGCCCCAGGCCCCAGGCCCCTCCGAGGAACGAAACAGAACTGCCTGAGCGGCGTGCGGCTAGGCCTTGCGGGCATCTTCGCCTCTGATAATGTTGTCTCTCTGTGCTGGGGGGGGGGTAATACGAATTCGTGCGCGCCAGGTTAATCTCCGTCGCGGTGCTCTTGTTGCATGCTGACTGAACCAGGTGTTATGACCGTGTGCGGCCAGTTTGCACGGCGACTTGGACCTCTGAAGGAGCTCTCCCACGTGCACCTCTTACCGAGACATGTTCCGAGGCGTTGGCCTGTCCAGGTCCACTTTGTGCTTGTGCGCCTGGGCGCCCGCTCCGCGATCCTTTGGATCGGAGGGTGCCCTGCCTGTTTAGGCCGCGGACGAGCTTTCCTCGCGCGCCCCGATGGAGCAACGCGCGGTGGCCGCCACCACCGTCGGACCCTCCCTTCCTCGTCTCTCCCCTCTCAGCATGCCACCGTTTCTTCGGCCTCCTCCTGTATTTCCGTTACCTCACCCATGATCCTCCTCCTTTTTTCCTCTTCTTCATCATAGTCATCATCATCACCACCACCATCATCACCATCATCATCATCATCATCCTCAACATCAACATCATCATCTGTATCGTCATCATCAGCATCATCATCATCAGCACCACATCAGCATCACAACCATCCTCATCATCCTCATTATAATCATCATCAAACTCAGAATCGCCACCATCATCAGCATCATCGGAATCGACATCATCATCAACATCATCATCAGCATCATCATCAGCACTATCATCATCACCGCTATCATCATCATCAGCATCATCAGCAGAAACAGCATTCGCAGCTACATCATCATTATCATCAACCTCAACATCACATCATCATCATAATCAGCATCATCATGAGCATCAGCATCACCATAATCAGCACCATCATCAGCATCAGCATCATCATCAGCATCACATCATAAGCATAATCATCATCATCAGCAGCATCATCGTCATCGACAGCATCATCGCAATCATCATCATGACAATCAGCACCATCAGCGTCAGCATCACCATCAGAAGCATCATCATGCTCGTCAGGATCATCATCATCATCATCATCATCATTATCATCATCATCAGCATCATCATCATATTCCTCAGCATCGTTCGCATCCTCATCATCATCCTCATCCGCCTGCTCTTCCTCATCATCATCATCAGCATCAGCATCAGCATCATCATCATCATCATCACCATCACCATCACCATCACCATCACCATCATCATCATCATCAGCATCATCATCATCATCATCATCATCATCATCATCATCAGCATCATCATCATCATCATCATCATCATCATCGTCATCATCCCCCTACTCGTCTGCATCATCGTCCTCATCATCCTCACCCCCATAACCATTCTCATCTTCATCCTGGTCGACATTAGTATCCGCATTCCCATCATCCTCCTTCTCACCATCCTCGTCCTCATTCGCAATCGTGAGCATCATCGTCAGCATCACCATAATCGCCATCACCATCATCTGTATCATCATCACCATGACAATCTCATCATCAGCATCATCATCATCAACATCATCATCACCATCATCGTCATCGTCATCGTCATCATCATCATCATCAACAACAACATCACCATCCATGCCAGCAACATCGTCATCATCGTCATCATCGTCGTCATCATCACCATCCTAATCATCACCCTCTACGTCCTCATCTTCCTTTGCTTCCTCATTTCTCTGCTGCCGCCTTCCGTCGCCGTCTCCCGCTGCTCGCCCTGTGCCCCTCTTACCATCCCCGCATGCTGCCATCCTTTCCATTATCCATGGTCTCTCCTCGTTCTCCTCCTCTTCCTCCTCCTTCTCCTCCTCCTCCTCCTCCTCCTCCTCCTCCTCCTCCTCCTCCTCCTCCTCCCCCTCCTGCTCCCCCTCCTCCTCCTCCTCCTCCTCCTCCTCCTCCGCCTCCTGGCTCCTGGGTGGCTCGCGGCGCGGCCCCCTCCCCCCGCAGGAGATGTTGCCCCACGCGGCGGGCGCGGCGGCCCGCGGAGCGACCGCCCACAGGCCCCGAGAAGAGGCGCCCGCCAGCATGGCAAACACGCCTCAGGCGGAGGCGCAGCCAGGCACGCAGGGAACCAAGGCAGGAGGAGGAGGAGGAGGAACAGGGAGGAGGAGGAGGAGGAGGAGGAGGAGGAGGACGAGGAGGGAGGAGGAGGAGGAAGGAGGAGGAAGAGGAGGAGGAGGAAGAGGAGGGGGAGGAGGAGAAGGAGCACCCATTCGAGCTCAAGATCGTCCACTCTGCTGCAGAAGCCTTCTGCTCTGGGCCACGGCTGTTTCGCCTGATCTCTTCCATTGGGGAGCTCACGTTTCTGAGCCGACCCAAGACTACCGAAAAGGAAGGGGCAAACATTGAATGAAAGCCCCCTCCTGTCGGGGCGGGGGCCGAAACGGTGGAACGGTGCCCAGCAGCTTGCTGGGACACCCCACGCGGGGCGGGCGTTCACGAGACATTTCTCATCTACGTCTCGAATCTGATCATTCGCGCGAGCTTGCCTCGCGGGGCTCTGCTCGCTTTGTTGTTAAAACCTGCTGCCTGAAAAATGCGATACAAGGCCTGCTTTGCCGAAATCACTTTCCCATGGTTCAACTGTTTGTACTCTAGCGGGGAGCGGAACCACGCGGGCCTCGGCCTTGCGCTTGTCTCCCTCGTCCGTGTCCCTGTCGGCCAGGGCGCGCCACAACGCTTTTTGGTCCTCCAGGGCGTTGGGACCAGGCTCGAACGGGTCGGGGAGCGTGATCTAGCCCAGCACGTTCATCGAGATGCGCGCGATGCTTCTGTCCTGGGTCGTGCTGGTTCCGCACTCCTTCAACCACGCACTGGCGAGCTCCATGTCCCCTTTCGTCATCATGAGAAGAACGCGCTTGGGAACGTCCGCGAGGCTCTTGACCGAATCCTGCGCCTTGCCCTGCTGCTCGAGCCAACCGCTCAAAGCGTTCAGAAGTGCGGCACAACTCTGCAGTTCGGGCGGCCCGAGCACATGAGTATTGTTCTTCCCCTCCAAGAGGAGGAGGAGGAGGAGGAGGAGGAGGAGGAGGAGGAGGAGCAGCAGGGAGCCAAGGCAGGAGTCCCCGAGGAACTTGCTGGACGTCCACCACGGCAGCATGGCGCCGGAGTCCACGCAGCGGACGACGCGCAAGCACTGCCAGCAGTGGTGGTGGCACAGCCAGCTCGAGTCACGAGTCTACTGGTGCGCAAGCAGATGTCGAGTGGCGAGGCCCCGGGCGACGCCGAAGCCCGACGCCAACCCATCCGACGGCAAGGACGAGGGCGGCGAAGGCAAGAACACGGGAACAAAAACGGCAACATGGGCCACGTGCATCTCGCCATCGCTCGGACGTCCATTCCCTGTTTTTTTTGGTTTCGTGCGTGTTTTTTCGCCAAGTGATCGAGGATGCTCCTCGGTGGTCCTCGCCGAAGAAAAATGCACACGTCCGAGCGATGCCAAGGCATGGCGTCGAGCTGGTCGCCGCGCCGGCGAAGCCCATGGCGACCACGCGAGGCGCGCTGCAGCTGGCCAGAGCAAAGGCGGCGTCGCAAACGAAGCAGCTCGAGGGCGCGGCCGCGGCGCCCGAGGAGGCTGCGGCGAGGGCGCCGCAGGTCAAGCGGCGCGCCTTACGGCCCGCAGAGGCAGCGAGCAGGCAAGCAGAAGGTACTCCAGATTTCGTAATAAAAGGGAGGGGGTCACAACCCTCCCAGACGAGAAGTTTTAGACCCCCCAGACTATCCATCAAATGGCGGCCCTTTGCCCAGACCCCCCCGAAACCTCCAAGACAGCTCAAATCAGACCCCCCCCCCAAATGTGACCCCCCCCTTGATTTTGGAATCCGGAGTACAAGTGGGCGTTCGAGGCCAAGCAGGCAGGCGGAGCTCGGGGCAGACAGAGCGCGCGGGATCCTCTTCGCGCGCGCGGAC